GATAAGTACATTAAAAATAGCCTCTGTACAACATACTTTTGGGGGAAAAAAAAGTTGACGTTAGAGCAGCATGCAGAAGTATTGAAATAAAAAATCCATTAATAGCCTGAACAGAATTTTCATTCTTAGGCTCAAAGCTGACCATAGAAAGCACTTCTGTTTATTGTTGAAGAAGGAATCTTTTACATTACTAGTTTGTGCATTCCTTGATTAGGCTTTTCAGTGTATTATTAAAGATGACTCCGTTGCATTTCGATGTACTCTTTCAACAGACCCTTAGCTCCAGGAGGGGAATATTTACTTGGAGAATTTGTAAGAATTTGCCTAAATAATAATATTTCCTACAAGTTTTGCAAGGTACAAAAAAAAACTAAACCAAAAAAAAAAAAAAAAACCCACCAAAAAAAACCTCATGAGTAGCATTTTGTGACATAGGTAACTGGATATTGATGTTATTTTATTAAATAGAGGAAGGTGATGGCCTGAAAGACAAAACCAGCATAAGAGGAAAAAATCTTGCCCCAAAATGCTTAGACAGCAAATTACTGAAAAAAAAAGTTATTACACATTATGAATCTCAGGCAGAGAAAAAAATACTTGTAGTCCTCTTTTGACTGAAGTTGTCAGTAGTCCTGTGTGAGCAAAACATGCTTCACAAAGCTAGATCAGCAACAAAACATTCTGTTAGGTGTACTGAGTTTTACTAGTGGAATTATATTATCACATTTGAATTTATTTCTCTTGCTTGAATGCCTCAGGATTTTATTGTTTCCCAGAGCACAGATATGTACGTGATACAGTTGCTCAGTGGGGCAAAATCTGAGTTAACTGATTAGAGTGTACTTGCAGGTATAAACTACTTGTGTTTGTGTCTGCTTTTTATTTGAGGGGTGAACATAACGGAGTCAAACCTCCAGTGTGTGTTCTGTGGTCAGCAGGATTCTAACCTGTTCAGCAGGACCTTGGTCAATTTTTAGTTTGTTGTCTCAACCATCCTTCCTTGGCTATGCGACACATTCATGGAAACTTTGCTGGCTCTGGCCACGGAAAGTAAGAGGATGGCATTAATGTCACCAAAAGGCACAGATCCTGTGTTGAGGCCACCCCAGCCACTGACAGCTCTCCGTGTTCAAAAGTCACCATACTGCAGGAAATTGGTGGGAGAGTGTAGCCCAGGATGTTGAGATCTCATGATTTCTAGGATGTCAAGATTAAGACCCCTTCAGGAAATTCTTTGTATCACAGAAGGCAGTGCATCTTGATTCTCCCTTCATTTTGAAGAGCAATTAAGTAGCATATGTAGTGTATGCAGTTTTTCTGAGACACTGCTGATTTTTGTAGACAAAATGCCCAAAAAATCTTGCCATTTTATGTCTGTAATAATGTATTCTCTAAAGTGTGGGAGGACACACTGCTGAGAAGGTCAGTTGTGATTCATTATACAGACATGAAAACATCTTTTCATCACGTTTTTGGCTTGCATCTTTTCAGATACTCTTAGTTGCCACTTCTCAAGTAAGCAGCTGAATTAGTAGCTGAGCTGTAAATAATGGTAAAACCCCTCTGAAAAGAGTTTCTCTGCAAGATGAAGGCATATTTTAGAGTTTTAGTGATTTTCCAATGTTTCTTCTTTGGTGATAAGAGGGAACAAGAAATTCACATCTTCATTTATGTGCATACTTTGGTAAAAAGCCTAATCCTTCAGTAAGAAATATTAAATGCTTCCTTCAAGTTTCCTGGCAACTTTAAGCCCTTCTTGTATTGCACCCAAAGCACCTTCTCCAAGCACAGAAAGTCAAGACCAAAGATTTCATATCTATAAAAACGATTTAACAGAGAGATTTTCTGGGAAATACTTGAAGATCCGTGGCACTGCACAGCCCAATTACATAATCTCTCCAAGCCGAAAACATAGCAACCTCTAAAGAACCACAGAAGGCTGGGTGGCCACTTATGTTCACCTACAACCAAGCAGTGAGTTAGAAGAGAAGAAGAATCCAGATCATTAGCAATCCTCAGAAACCTCTGTTCTCCTGGCTTGGTACCCATAATGACTTAGGTACTGCATATGGAAAATGATTGCAAAATCTATACTGTGGATCGAAGCTCCTTAAGAGCTTCGTGCCCATCCTTGTACAAAAGCGTAATTGTCAGTGCTCTGAGCTCCTGTCCTGAGAGTCTAAATTAAGAACAAGCCTCTGGGCTGCTGCTGGGCTTGCAGTAACTTCTCAGGCTTTGTCCTCCCTCTGTAACCACCTGACCTGAGCTGCCCCCAGAATACAAATCCACTGTACCATGCTGTCAAAACAAATTACTAAATATCAGGCAGCACCACAGAGGAGACAGGAGCCAGGATCTTAGCAAAAGTAAAAGGTTGCTCTCTCATGCTTGCTGAGGAATTAAGGCAACCTAAATGCTTTGGTGGGAAGGAAACATTTGCCCTTCACCAAATGCTGTCCTGAGACTTGATCCAGAAAGTAATCAGGTCTCCCATGAGGAGATGAAGTGAGATGTAAGGAGGTTCTGCCCACGGATTTAAGAAGTACACTTAACACACTGCAGCCTGTGCAGGCCTTGGGGAAGGGACTCTGAGGGCAGAATTTTCTGTTTACATCATTTGTGGAGGAGGCTGTGAACAGGTACAAACCAGGGAGAAAATCTGTGTAGGGAGTGAATACTTGCTGCCCCATTTCTCCTGTGATACGTGCTGAAACATGTGGGCAATGCTCAGTGCTTAATGAATATGGAACTGCAGGACAAGGTCACCCACAGCCTCCATCTGCATCAGTAACAGCACTGGGAGCCACCCTGGGCTCTGGGCATGCTTTTTTTGGCTTTCCCTATGTCACCTGCTGCCACTGCCCAGCCCATGGTGGCAGATGTGGGCACAGCCCTGGCAGCTCCAGTGTCACCAGGAGCCCACTCCCAGGCACTACTGTGGTTCCATACCTGCTTCTGTTTGCTGCTCACTGCTCTGTGATGGAGCTGCTGTGCCAGGGGGTGCTTTGATCCCATGGGTAAACTGACTTTGTAAAAGTGCTGTGCCTGGATGCCTTTGGGAGCAGTGGGCGAGAAGATGGGACAGGGCATGGAGACTGCTGTCGGAATAATAAAAGAATAACTCCTGATTAAATCTGGGTTGATAATCCCTAGGGAGCTAATACTGCCTTCAGTAACTGACATGATTTCTTTTTTGCTTTTCACCTGTGAGTATCTCCCTCACCTCCCACACACTACTTGCACCATCAATTCCTTACAACCTGCTCTGCTGCTTTCTTATAGGGGTGCATGCTGGATCTGAATACCTTAGTTCTTAATGAGATACACATTTAAAGCTTACCAGTTAGGTTATATCCCAATGTTCTTCTAAGAGAATACACTTCAAATATTTACAAATCAAAAGTAAGTTAATTTAAAATGCCAGTAAGTTAAGATTATTCTACTTGCTTGAGCTAGTATCTCTATAGCTCATCAGAATTCAACAAAATGTGGATTTGGAGATTTCAGTAGAGAGACAGACAGAATAATAAGGAAATCTCATTTCCATTTGTAAGGGTCCTAATTATCCTGATGGTTTAGAGGGAATCAGTTTTCCAATAAAAAATACAAATGAGGAAATTTCTTTCATCAGAGTGCAATATGCAAGGCCTTCTCAGAATAGTCCAGACTAACACAGACTTGAGTGTTACATGCCTATAAATAATAAAACAATGTTTTTTGAAGAGTCTAAGGCTGCCATACTCGGAAGGGCTGTGATTTCCCCATCACTCACCTATTAGCTTTTGAACTCAGTGCCTCTTCCAAAAGTTGGCAGAGAGAGAGAGGTCTCAAAACCCTATTTCACTTTGACATATTTCTTGAAAATCGATGGGGCAATAATGAAGAAATCAGCAGTACTGGGGAGGAGGTTTGTAATATGGGCATGAAATATAAAACTGTAGGGAAAAAAACTACATTAGTTCTACTTTTCATAACATGTTTATTTTCATTTACAGTAAACATTACAAGCTGATACCGAAATCTGTCTGAAGTCCATGCTTTGTTATTCTGTTAATGATGACTTGCAATTTATTGTATGCTTTGCCATTATTTTGAAGAGACTTTGTTGTTTTGTTTTCTGTAGATGTGACCTTACTTACCCAGGCAATTTGGAAGAACAGTTCAAGCACTGTTCTTTGGTCCATTGCATGAGTTTTGTGCCATGATTTTACTGAAGACTCTGTAATACATGTTAGGAAGACAAGTTGAATATATTTGAAACTGGCATACCAAATAAAGTGTGAGGAGAGTAGAGGGCTCTTTGAGCTTGCAGGGGAAGCCTACTGTTTTTGTAATGGAACAATTTGGATACATTCATAAAGTGGCTTCCATGCTGGAAATAGACTTTGGAGCCTATAGAGTAGAGGCTGATGATAAATTGTAATAAATTATGGATATTATTTGAACTATGGGGGGGGCAGGGTTGAGGGGGAGGAAAAACTGATAGCTGCACATCTTCTAGGGCACATTATAACCTCCCAAGCAGGTGCTAAACCCCTTTCTTCTTTTGTGCAGCTGAGAACAGTGTCTTTCTTGTAAATGAGTTCTCCTACAATGGCGACTGCTGGATGAGAGTCTGAATTAAGAACACAGGAGGAAAAACAAAGGCACAAAGCCTGTTTAATTAGGATAAAAGATACTCACCCCTGCCAAATTCTCCAATCCCAGTTTAGCAGAGCATAGGAGTTGTTAGGGCTGAAAGGTCTGACTTGCTGACTTAGGTAAACGCAATGCTTGGCAGATGAAGTTATGCATAATTAATTGTTCTTTGTTGCATTCTTTCCAATGTAATGACTTGTAGCATTCACACTTACAGTAATTGATGTTTGCTGTGTGCTGGAGCTTCAGGACAGCCAATTAAGGTGGTGAAGGTGGGAACTGCACAGCATCTCTGACATCTGGTTGTTACCAACATGTGGGCTATAACGTTTTTTTTTTTTCTTTTCTTTGCTTGTTTCTAGTGTCTAAAACAGTACATGGAGCTGGCAATTCAAGAAGGTTGTGGTTCCCCTATCACATGTCCAGACATGGTATGCTTGAACCATGGGACCCTACAAGAAGCAGAGGTATCTATACTTCTCATACTTCTTTCTCTCTCTCTTTTTTTTTTTTAAACATATATCCCCCAAATTTCTTTATCTGCATAATAAGAAATGTAATCATACAATTTTTCCTCCCTTTAATTACTTTTAATGAGCTTTTGGCAAGAGGCCTGACTGACAAGAGGTGATAGAAACAAACAGATGTTTTCCAAGGGTTTTGCTCCTTTTTCCCTCCCTCTATGCCTTGGGGGAGAAGTTCCCTTTGCATCTGGACAGCCTCTGAATTATCCATGCAGGTGACTTAACCAGAATACCCTGTATCCCAGAATTGCTGAGCCTCCATTAGACTGTCATTTCAGTCAGATTTGATTTGACTGCAAATACTGAAATTCTTGCACCTTTCTTAAGAGCAAGAACTTGGATTGATGGTATGCAAGGCCAGAATTTCCTTGTGTATGTTGATCTTGGGTTGCAACAACCAATTTGCAGTCCAATCTAATCATGCAGGGCTGTATAATTATATTGAGAGAAAGGTACCTGCACAACACCAGGTAGAAGTAGGCCTTAAGAGATATGGAAGGTATCTCTTGGGATACACCCAAGGATGCTTGCTTGCCTGCTCTGTGAGGCAGGAATGTCTCTGCTGAGCCTGAGAATACAAGTACGACAAAAAAACCCCAACCCCCCCCCCCCCAAAAAAAACCAAAAACCAAAAAACAAACAAACAAAAACAACTAAAAAAACCCCCCCAAAAAAACAAAAAAAAAAACCAAACAGAAAACCAAAACCAAACAAAAAAACCAAAAACCAACCAACCAAACAAAAAACCCCACCAAAACCCAAAAAAACCAACAACACGCAAAAAAACCCAGGAAAAATAAGATGGCTAAGGGATTTTGATTAGTTTTGTACATTTTCTCAGTATTTGAGTAATAAAATCAAGGAGAATTAGATCTCCATCCTTGAACTGAAGAAGAGAAGTTTGTCTTCTGGATTATCTTGAGCTCTGTGCACACAGATGCTGTAACTATGGCAGAAGTATATAATCCTATTCAAATGCCATCAGTGACAGTGTGATTCCCAATACCAAAAATTACTTTTTCTCCAGAAAAAACTCTGGATCTGCTCTCCAGCATACATTTGAAATGTTGTGCTTAGTTGAATCAGGTCACGGGACTTTCAGCTATCTTAGTTATGGTGGAGCCTTTTTTTTTGGCTGAATACAGCTATTGTGAAAAGCAACCAGCTGTTTCCCTTTCTCCTCTTTCTGCAAAGATACAGAGAGTGTGTAGCAATGTCCTTCCACCCACTGCATCTGATTGGAGGCATCTAGCCTTTATTGAAAATGTATTTTTAAAGAAAAATTACCAAATGACAGGAAGAGTTCTGCTCTGTTCAACCAGGGTTATAATGCTATAGGAATTAGGAAATATATATTTCCCCTTAGTAAAGGAGACTCCAGGGGCATTTAATAATGGACCACTGGCCTAATCCTTGGGTGTTTTTTGGGCTGATAGCAGAATGACTGAACAGCCCGAATGTGCATTAGTGTCCCGTGGATGACTGAATGTTCTGAAACTCCCTTTTGGCAATGTGCTGGAAACACAAGCCTTCTGCTTGAATAGCAAACAAATCCCCAACCTGGTTAAAATTACTGCTTATGTATTTTACCAAATACCTATTTCTTTAAGGAAAAAAAAAAAACACCCAGAAAAACAGTATTGACATAAAGAATAAACTGACTCCATTCACAATCTAAAAGAACAGTATGTAAACTACAGATTTATGTATGAACACTCTCTATTACTTTTTTTCCTCTCTATAAATAAAGGCTGTTCTTTGTGAAAATGTGGCCTTTTAAAGCTATTTCTTAAAAAAGCAGAACCTTATCAGATGATACAGAATGTGCTTAACTAGGGCTATTGTTTGTCATGGAAGTACTATTTAGAGTTACAGTTCATTCCCTACACTCTCAAACTCCCGGTGTAAAAGTAGGCGGCTTCTCACCTCTGGGGGGGGTCTGGATTTTTTTTTCTCTGGCTTCTGGCAGGACAAGGTTCCTCACCAGGACCATGGTGTGAGGATCCACACGTTGCCTGTACTGTGGGGAGAAACAAAACTAAAAGGTCCTTTTTTTTTTCTCCTCTGAGATAGCATCAGTGTTTTGTAAAGGTATATTTTTCATGTCATGTTCATTTCAGACTATGCTGTGACTGCTGTTCATCAGGTACTGTTACAATTTGAAGAAAAAATAACAGTTCAAACTGTCTTTGTCATAGATGAGTTGCTAAATTGGGTCCTTTGAGCTAAATGTATCTCACTATGTTAACTAAAGCAGTTGTTTTGTTTGCTTTTTTAAATGCCTTTTGCCATAGCCTGCAAAAGGGAGATAAAGGTGAATTTGGGCATAATTTGAAGTGAAGGAAAGCCTCTTCATTGGCTTCAGTGCATTTTGGATTGAGCTTTCTTCAATAAGGAAACTGAACAATTAATAACAAAGCTTATAAGCATATATAACACAGTATAGCTATGAACACAGTATAGCTTTGAAAATTCACCTTCTTCTCCCTCTCAAGGTCCTTATTCAAGCTGTGTGACATTCCTTCAGTGCTTTCCAGTGACCAGTTTGTCTTCATTTAGACAAATCAGAATTAAGTCCTGTTTATTTTCTCAGTAAAATTCTGAAGAGTTTGTCTAGTTTGGTGCTAAATTACTAGAGCCTTTTCAAAGCTCTTGCCTTGCTTCTGATTTGTGTTCTTCTTCAGTTGCTTTTGGGGGATGGAGGGAGGGAAAAACTCTGGTTAACAATTTAAACACAGAATAGAATTTCTTCTTGTATGTCTCATGAAGAAATGAGCAAGTATGAATAGTAGGAATGTGTTTCTCTAAAACAGTTGAATATTTAATCAGTGCTTGGGGAATAAACTGCTTATTCATAGAGTATAGGAGATGTTGGGAATTAAGGCTTTACTTTCTGAGGTCCCTCTGGACCTCAGAAAAAAATGTTCCAGGTTTTTTGATCTTAAAATGCATAAAGTGAAAAGTCACTTGAACTAGAAAATTATACTTTTCAGTACTTTGAAAATATGTTTTCTGAAACCCCTCTGGCTTGGGTTTCTTTTTCCTTCAACAAAATCTAGTTGAAACTGGTTTATTTCCCAGTAGTTTTTTTGTTTTGACAAATAGTGCATTTGAACAGAAGGAACTGTTCCACTGAAGTGCTTGAAATCAAGTGCAATCCTAGGTCACATCTTGACCTGTTACATCTAGATAGCAGCTTGTAGTATAGCTGTCTTGTAGCAGAAATAAATGAGGGGTGGTGGTGGTAAGGCAATGGTTTTGGCTACAGACTCTCTTTCAAATAGCTGGTTACACAAAACAGGGGAAGTTCAAAAACAGTCTTGTTAAACAAAATGTTTGCCCTTTCAAGCTCCAGTGCCACAATAAACAAAGATTACTTGGATTCCTTCCTGGAAGCAGAAGGTAGAAGGAACATCTTATGTTAATACAGTTCTCTTTAAACATGCAGAATTCTTCTGTCTAGAATATTCCTGTCTCTCTTGGGAACTTGCTCCATTGATTTAATTGGACCAGTTAATATTGCTAATCTAAATAAGGGGTAATTTATCATGGTTTGAAATTATTTTGCTTGGTGTGAATCCAGTCACCAGTGTAAGCTATGAATCAGGGTAAATCTCCACTGCATACAGGGATTTCTACTGTAATACTCACTTGGATAATATCTAGGGCATTGTGCTTTGCTGTTTCTGATTCCTGTATTGTTCTGGGGTTTATAACATCAATACAGTGATCCATGTATACATAATCTGATTTGGATTAAAACTGTGCAGCAGTCAGAAAAGGAGGCACTGATTTGGGTTCTTAAGTTTTTCCAGAATTCCCCCTTTGCATGCAGTGCAGGTTCTGCTTGCTGTCCCTCTGTCTGTGTAAATCTGTGATCCACACCAGTGCCAGCCTGACAGAGGGTTGTCAGCACTCTGTAAAGCAATGCTGAAATAGGACAGTAACCCAGATCTTAGAATTCTTAATTGCCTTATATTCCATACCTAGCCAAACACAAAATCCCACTGGGACTCAGTCTAAAATATCAGTTTTATTTTTAATTTCAAAATTGGTTTATGCTTTGCTGCAGAAGAGATTGAAATGGTAAAATGAGAAGGAATGTAAGAAAATGTTCCAGGCTGACCTATCTTTTTCAGGGTCAAAATAAATATTTCTGTTCTTCTTATTTTCTTGTTTTTAAGTAAAACCTAGGGGAGCAAGTGAGAGAGCCTTAATTTTGTTTTTATTTGTCGCTAAATAAGATAAGAGCTCTTTAATGGAGACCATGAATAATTTAGTATTTCATTATGAGTCTAGTGAGCATGGTAGCTTGACAAAGAAAGTTGTGGGTCTAATTTCTAACAGCATAGAGGCTGAGTTCCCATACCCCTTTCAAAAACAAACCAGAGGCTCTGTTGGAACCATTTTACACTGCTTGCAAAAGAAGACAGTGCCTCTGTGAGTGGGACTTTGGCAGAGGTGGGCAATGCCACCCTTTGCAAATTCTTCTGCCAGTGTAGGATCCTCCCGTGCTGCCTGTCTGCTAAAGTGAGAAAGGGAGAAGCTTTTGGCCTGCTGAACTTCCCTTCCTTGGCATTATCAAAGTTTGATTCATATGGGTGTGAAAGGAAGTAAGATCTATTCAATTTGCTTGATTGCCTCCTTGCATGTCCCTTGAAAGTCTGAGAATAGGTGGAGTAGTGATTTTCCCTTTCCACTGTGGTAGCCAGTATTTGAAAACAGGGGAGTTGTTCTTCCTTGGGTCCTGGTTACTGCACTGCCTGGAAAAGTTTGCTGCTGTGTACACTGAACCAAATTATTGTGAACCATTTCAATTTCCTTTCTTTGCTCTTTTGTCTCATGTAGTAGCAGGGACCCTGGTTATTGTGACACATTTCATGACATGATCTTTTTGGATGCTTGACAAGGATCCAGCTGGAGCCCTTTGTGGTAGTAAGCCTTCAGAATTTTGCTTTTGTCCATCAATATTTTTACTTCAGGTGAATGCTGTTGTACTTAGCAATAGCTCTTGTGTATTCTTGTGCTGTATAGCAAGAGGATTTTAACTGCAGATATTGCTTACAGGGTATGGGAAATCAGAAAACTTATTTCAACTCCTAACAGCCTGATAAGTCTCAAATCAAGATATTTTCAGGAGAGGAGTCTTCTTGCCTGTATTTTTTTTTTTTAATTAAAACCCCCAGTATTAAAAAACAAAAAAGTTCACCAAACGGTCCTGTAGCATTTCTTCCTACATTGAATAATTTCATAGCATAGAATAAGAAAAGTCTGTTTTCTGGTATACTCATGATCTTCCTCTTTTGGCTCTTTGCCATCTGCTGGGTTGCTGGTTTGCTGCCTCCCCAGATTTCCATGCCCTGAGCAGCCCGGAGACATGAGTGATTGTGCAGGAGAGGAGGTGTTTGGGATGGACAGACACCCAGGTGGGGCTTGAGAAGTTGTCTGGAAATGGACACTTAGACTGATGTCAAATAGGAGGAGATAAACACCTAATCCCCTTATTGTACTTACTACTGTCCTTCTTGATTAGGTATAAATAAGATTAAAAGTTCCCTGAGGAAAAGATTTGCTGGTTTTTTATAGGGACCTGATATTCATGTTTGTTTGGGTTGTTTTTTCAATTAAGCTTGCACATACAGCTTTCACGTGGCACTTAATTCAGGCAGCAGCAGGATTTTGTGCATTGTTATCCTCATGCCTGAAGAGACTAAATCTGTGAGAGGCTTTGGCTCAGCACCTCTCAGGCTGACCTGTGTGGGGGTGCCATCAGGACCTGGTCTTTCCAAGCCTGTGGGAGTCAGTGGCACAGGTGATGGGCTGCATCCCATCAGCACCCAGAGCACGCAGGGAGGGGGAAGCTGAGCTGTGAAGAGGATATGTAGGAAAAAGAGTGGAGCTGAGTGAAGCCAGTGGGGAAAGCTGGCATGGTAAGCTCAAGTTTTCCCCAGGAGAATGGGAAGCTTTCAGCACTGCCTCGGCTTCCTATTGAAATCTGTGTTAAGATGCATAACTCTGCTCCCACTGTAATGAAAAAGGCTGATTTTTAATACATGGGAAATTCTGGGCTCAATAGAACTGCTCTTGAAAAAACTGTTTGTTAGAAGTAAAAACAAGTACAGAAGGACCCCAGCCAACTAAACAATTCACTCAAGTGGCTCTTACAGCATTGAGACTCGCTGTTTTAATTTAGTTGTAATGAAGGAAAATTTAAAGTAGTTGCCAATGCTCACCCAGCTAGAGAAATGCAGATGACTCTTTTCCTTTTCCAAACTATTTATATGTGAAGCTGCCCTGGGGAGGAGTGGGCAGAACTGAAATGATGTGTCATTGCTGAAATTGCTAAACTTCACTCTTTTTACCCATTTGATTTTTTTTTTTTTAATGTTTTCCAAGAGTGTTTCAGCTGACTTCTGATGAACAGGTGAAGAGTTTCCCAGAAAAATCTCTGTGTCTTACAGTCATATTACTCTTAAATATTAATTAATTGCAGCCATATGAATCTTTAACTTATTAAATCTTGACATAATTTGGATTCATTTTTGTATTCCTCTGGCTTCAGTTAAATAAATGAGCCAAGTATCTGCTACAAAATACAGTTGTGTACAGTCAAGTCCAAACTATTTGAGATATTAATAAAGCAATTTTATATTTTATAATACAATTTTTTTCCATCTGTGAAAGAAATGTATTCATAGCATGATTCATAGCATGATATTGAATATATATTGGATTTTTGTAATTATATTTCTTCTCATGGGTGCTATACCCTACAACTGAGGAGGACAGCAAGGGCCAGTGTCCACTTCACTGAGGGCAAATTTTGCCCTTTACAATAATCGGAAGGACTGTGGTTGGATACTGGATGTGAGATTTAAAAGCCTGTCACTTTGAAGCTGTCAGTTCTACACTGTCTCACAGTGCTTCAAATGATCAGGTCCCAGGTCTTATATTTGTCTAGGTTTATTTTCAGTAAAAGAGAAAAATATTTCCAGTGCTGGTACAATATTACAAATGGATTAGATAAAGAGAATGGTCCCACATTCAGAATCTGACAAACATGTGACTCCTGAAGTGCCTGTGAAGTTCCTTTTAAGCCCCTCCATACCCTGTATGCAGGTTTGCTTATTAGTTTTAAATAGGACACTTGGTCTTCTTACGTAGAGTGTTAATTGGAGATTAGAGCATTTAGCCTTTTAGGCTGCGAGTTTAATTAGGGTAATGTGTAAAATGTATCAGCAAAGCCTGTTTGTCTATGCCAACTTCATTTGTTAACTTCAGTCAGGTTCCCAATAGGTTGCTCCGTGTCTAAGGCAAATTCCAACAGCAGTGGCATTAGCTGTCTTGGCCCAAACCCCATGAAATGAATAAAAAATGGAAACCAGACTGCCTTTCAGTTCCTGAGAGCTAAGTGGCCCCTGCCATTAACACTGGGAGATGTGAATGAAGAACCATTCATCTTAGCTGTATTCTTGTGCATGAACAGCATGCTGCAGTCTTCAGGGCTGGCAACGTCACCCTTTGTTACACTAAACCAACATGAAATAAAACTGGGAAGCCTGAAGTAAATATGGAATCCACAGAGAAGGTTTGAGTTTGCATGGAAAGAAAGACATGGGCTGAACTATTGACTTGTGTGGCTGAAATAGGGGAAGTTAAGAACTACTTTTTTAAGTTTTGGAGAAGAAGTCAAGGTATGGAAGACTGTGGTGTTGAAAGCAAGCAGAAACAAAAAGGTGAATTTGGGAGCCAGCTCAGGAAAGCAGGTGTGTAGAACATAGTGCTTATTTGTCACCCTGTTCTTCTAAGTTCTTCTAAACCTTCTGATGTTTACATTTTTGTAATAGAGTTTCTCACATACTTTTCATGTAAATAATGATTGTTTTGCATTCCTTTCTGGAAGAAGAAAAATTTGATGAACTGTTAGTTTGACCAGTGTAGCTGGAGAAGTGGCAATTTCATCCTCCAATCCATAGTCACTTTTGCAAGTCTATAAATATTGGAGTTGGAAAATAAACTATGCTCTTTTTACCTTAGGCGTTTCAGCTTGTGTGTATCATTTATTTTGTGTCCTAGTACAACACTTATTAACCTTTTAAAGCTTGTATTTTTAATGCTTCCTTTGTCTATTTCTCATTTCAGATTGCCTGTTTGGTTCCTGTTGACCAGTTTGAGTTATACAAGAGGTTGAAGTTTGAACGAGGTGTGAAGCTTTTTGTCTCTATTACCTTCTCTTTTGTCAGTAGAGGCAGCACTGTTATATATGGCAGAGACAGAGCGTGTGGAGTGAGTTAAGGAAGAGACAGAGAAGATGTCTTTGCTTTGAAATACTACAGGAGCAGTCACTAGGTCTGGCTGTGCTCCGCAGACAAAGTTGAAATTCTGTTTTGCAGAATCAAAAAAGCAGCATCTTAATGAACTACCAGACTTCTACTCAAGCCTGTGGGCAACAATCTCAGACTGTGTGCCTGGGCTCCATTGTTCTTCTGATGGCATATTCATCTTGGGTCCTTGAGCTGGTTGTACTGGTAGAACTTGTCAAAGTGCTAGAGGCTGGTGCTGTCCAGGGCACACAGTCCTTTTACACATCCCTAGGGATCTTCAGAGCTTCTGGGGGACACATACTCTGAAATGCAGTGTGAATTTTTGCAAGCATCCCTGCAAAATAGCTTTGCTTGCGTAGAAGCTTCACGTGTGTTCATCTAGTAGAGTTTTTCTTCCCAAGGAATAGTAGTCCCCTCATTCCTGAGGAAGGCCTACTTTGTAAAGAAGTTTGAAATTGAAGGTCTCACTGAGGTCAAGATTTCCTATGCCCAGAGGTAACTCTTCTGCATCAAGAGATGCTTCCTTGACAAGGCTGAAGAAGAAACTTGCTAGTCAGAAAGATGAGATCCCCTTCCTGGTTTTAAAGACTGCCACCAGCTTCAAAGTTTCAGCTGGAAGGTGCAGTGTTTTAAAGAACTCAGTGCATGGTAGCGTGCAGAGTGGTGTGTCTGAGACACTGCCCCACTCTGCCTGTTCTCAAACTTTCCTTGAAAGACTGGATTTATATTCTTACTCTGCATGCCTGCTTAGATGCAGTGGATTGTGTAAGACAATGCAGAGGTCTATAAAAATTAGGCAAAATAATGCACTTGAAAAGTTGGTCAGGTAGAAGAATGTATAGGTTTTTACAGAATCTTATCTGACATGAATCCTTGGGAATGACCACAAACTAGAAAAACTGCAAAATACTCAAATATGCCCCAGAGTTTATGGGCAAATGCAGATTGTAGATATGATATTTAGGCACTCAGGTCAAACAAAAAGAAAAAAAAATCCCAAACCTTGGTTTTATTTTTTATTTCTTTCTCCTGTTTTACCACTTTCTTGTTTATTCTTAATTTCTTACAAAGTCTCTCCAGTTCATAATCTAATCAGTGGCTTGTCTACAGTCCTAGACAATGGAAATCAGAGCTTGTTAAATCAACATATTAAAGGTTTAAGAAAAAGGGACTTTCTTGCAATACATTAATCTGTTTTATGTAAAACCTTTTTCTCCTGAAGACTCTGAAATTATTGGTTTCCTGGTGTCTCTTCCTCTATAACTAGCCAAAGCTGAACTCATGATCTTTTGTTCAACTCACTGTTACTTTTTTTTTTACTGCCTCCCACACAGAGAAGCCTGAAACTTGTCTATTTTTTAAATCCTCTTTTCCTTTTCTTTCTTGCCTAAGTCTGACAAATCCTCTTCCACCTCTTGTATCTCTCTTCATTATGATTTTAAGATCTGTCCTTACTCATTTATGATAAAACTGGTGTCCAAGCAGCAGACTTAGGCATAGCCCTTTTGCCTTGCCTTTTGGCCCCAGCAATAAATCCAGCTTACTGATGTCTGGGAACAACAATTCCTGCTAGCTAAAGCTCTGACCTGGACACCCAGCACTAATCCCAGCCTTAGCCAAGACCTTTTGTCTGTCCTGGATTTAATGCTGTCCCCAAGGCTGACCTTTCTGCACTCATCAGTAGAACTTGGGACTTAGCTTATTAGCTTCTGCTGGCCTGGAGCACCAGTCTCAGACCTGAGCCTTACCTGGCAAAGCCTGCCTGCCCTGGTCTGACACTCTTTTTCTGAAACTAGCAATAGACCTCACTGATGGCATCTGCTGGGGGTGAATTCTCACCCAGAATCTGTCCAGAGACTCCTTCCTGATCTTCAACTTATTGGTAGAGCCCTTCCAGACATTTTCCACTGTGAGATTAATTTTGAGGAAAATTTGGAACACTCCAAGAAGGACTTACACATCCAACAGCTGTTTCCCTCATCCCCAGTCTGTGCTAGCTATGTTAATAGAATATATTTCTTCTCATTTTCATTGCTTTCTTTTTTTAATGGGCCAATAATATTGTGTGGAAACATAGTGAGAAGTAATTGGTATAGAATGGTGTATCTATAGACAATTGTTAAATTTAATAATAGATGCACTGATAATAGGCTATTCTCTTGTGGATTTTGTGTTCTTAGAATGCAGATGTGTTTTTAAAAACAAGATTTTTTTTGCATATCTGTAACTTCTCTGCATCCTGTCAGGGCTAAGCCACAAAGTTTCTGTGAAGCATATTTATTAGAAAAACAGGAATTGCTCTATGTATATTTAGGATGGTGTTGATGTAGTCAACAGAAGTAAAGAAATAGAGGACTGGTAAGTGGTTAGGGCACATGCATAATATTTGTCAGTAGGCTGAGTGGGGGTTGAGGAGAATCTCCATTTTATGCCTGACTCAAAAGTAGTCTGTTTTAAATGGAGATTTCTGTGAAACAAAGTCTTATCCTTTCAGTGAGTACCTCTTCTGAGCCAGAAATTATTTTCTTCAGGGTGCCGTATTCCTCCTATCTGCCACCTACATCTCACCTGCTTGCTTGCATGTTTTATGAAAACTGGCCAGATCCCTGTCCAAAACTGGCACTGTTTGGGAAGGCTTTCCTCCTGGGAGTTGAGGGAGCTGTGGCTGAACTGGCTGCAGGGTAGCAGGGGAAAAGCTCAGGAGAGAAATGGCCCTAACCAAGAGATGGAGCAACTTGCCAGAGCAGGCTGATAGCCTCTTTCCCTTTTTTGGCTGTGCCTTTTTAGCTGTTTCTGGTTTTGCTTGTGCTCCATGGCAAACCAAACAGTATGAGACAGCGTGGATTGCAAAACACCATCTGTAGGTTCTTTGTAAGATGGAGGAAGTGGGAGAGGAGGGACTTTCATCTCTTGCATTACATCTTGCTGCAACAAATTCGTAAAAAAACAGGTTTACAACCCAATTCTCCTCCTCCCAATGATGTCAAAACCAGACATTCTGTCTTTCACCCAAAGACAGGATTTAGGTTTACAAAGCTGAATTTTCAACAAAAAACATGCAGAATCTATTGTGTGAAGGATTAAATGCAATAGCAAGTACTAGGCCATAGTCTTAACCAATTCAGGGTTTCTTTTAAGAGACCCCAAAGGAACCTAGAGAAATAAAAATTTCTCAGTCAGGACATTACCTTTTAAAAGTGTGTAAATATGAAAAGTTACTTGATTTGCTGTCACTCTCTTCTCCCTACTAATGAAGCTGAGATCTAATTTGTTTTTGCTTTCATTCAATAGAAAGCAAAATGTTTGTTTTGGGAGGCAAACAAAGTGTGTGCAAGACAGTAAGAGAAAATAATGCAACTAGATCCATGAAATGGCTGAAGGTAGATGGCACAGGTGTTTTGCTGTCACTGCCTAAATTATAGGTGACAACCTTTGCATGGAAATAGAAATTCTCTACATCTGTTGGAGCTCTCTGACACAGACTCAGAAATTACCCAAAGTCAGAGTACTGTGTACCTGTGTGTCCATATGTGCTTTCAGTAAAATTTGCCAGAGAACACATATATGAGGTCCTTGTGCAGCTTTTTGTTTCAAGTGGGACAATTAATTTTATCTGCTGGAGGTACCTTGTAATGCCTTTTGCCATCTCACAGTCAGGAATTCCATTGACTTTGAAGACATCCCCTCCATCTATTTATTTTCAGTGGTGGTACCAGAGAGCTCCCAGGGAAGGAGGGTCAAGGTAGCTCCTGCAGGCATGACAGCCCTTTTCTGGGGAGGCTCTGCACGATGTGAGTGTTCAGCTACACCTCATGGAATTGAGTAGCAAATGACCAACAGTGAATGTGTCCCAGCTGGGTTTTTGTTGCAAATTCCTTAAATAAAGATTGGGAAGTGAGAGAGAGGATCAACATTTATCATTCTCTGCCATGTGGTGATGACTGTAACTCAGTGTCTACACCCTGAATCTTGACTCCTGTAATAATCTGATACCGGACAAATAGTAATGATATGATACAATGAATATTAACTGCAATTTATAGATAAAGGATAGTAAATAAGGCATGGAAAGTGGCTTGACATTAATTTAATTACAGTCCTTCTGCTGTTTACATGGAAGTTACTGCATGGCTTGCACATGTCCAAGACATGGAGTGGCCTAGTGCTACAAAAGACACGTGCTTCTCAGCCAGCAGCACCAAGGTTCATATTGTGAGCCTTGCTATAAAAAAGCAAGGAACACATTCCATGTAGTGTATTTCTACTGTTGCAATGCTTTCAGTGCAACTGCTTAGCAGAGGACAAATGCAGACCTGCCTAAAGAAGAGCAGGGCCAAATGCCCATGGGTGTGGGTGTGGAGCACTGTGGCTTCTACACCCTTGTGCAGAACTGGGTGCTGTATACCTAGACACATGTCACTGGAGCAAGAAGGGGACTGCATAAAGAGTTTTATTTCTCTCTCTGTTGCATTTCAGAAGTCCACTTGGACCCCCAGAGAACATGGTGCCCCACAGCCGACTGCCAAACCGTGTGCCACATCGCACTGAGCGAGTCGGGAGCGCCGGTGCCAGTGGAGTGCCCCACCTGCCACCTGACCTTCTGCTCCTCCTGCAAGGAGCCGTGGCATGGGCAGCACCTGTGCCAGGAAAACCAAATTACTCCAGTACCAACTGAGCAGGGGTAAGATGGGAATCCATGAGGGCCATGCCATCTTTTGGTTCTTTTCATCACAGGGCCTCTTGTTGGGTTCATGGAGCAGCTTCCTTCTAGGTCCACAGCTTCAGCTTGGAGACTGTCCATCTCTCGTGGTGTTTTCTAAATACAATTCCAGTCTAAATATTACTTTAAATGCTAAATTTTATTTTTTAATACTTAATATTATCTGTGTACTTGTCAAGCTTGGGTTGCAACTGACACTTCTAAAAGGTGAAGCCCTTCAGGACTTTAAATCTGCCTAAAGGCTTTGTTCACATGCTAGAATTATGATCTGTGCCCATACCAAAAATCCAATATAACAATATTGCAGGATCCAAATTTTGCTTATACTGTGATTAAGAAATCACCCCTGCTTAATATTTACAGAATCTTTGCATAGAAAAACCTTAACTCCTGCACAGTGTAAATTTCACTTGGAGTGAGAAGCCTTATTTATGCTCATTTTCCTTAACTGCAAACAACCTGCAGATCAGGTTGAAAAAGCCTCGTTAATCTATAGAAGAGAGGCTTTTGCGTTTAAACTATGTCATGTCTTTGGCTATCCATCTTTGTTTTCAGAATTAGGTTATGTTGAGTCATGTTTTCAAAGTTTTCTATCATTTTTTTCAATAATTGAAAAACTTAAAACCTAGAGCATTCTGCTTGCTAAAAACTCCATGGAACAGGTGTTGCCAAAAAGCTATGGCTATGATTTTTTTTCTCTAGGTGTGATCTCTGGCTGTGGTAGAGTTTAAGCCTATTTTATTCAGACAAGGAGGATTCAGACAAGGATTATGAGTTGCATAATCTGGTCCTGTTAAAATAATTGTGTAAGGTCTCTGTAACAAAGTGCTAAGTTTTAATGCTATAGGTGATTAATTGTGGGTGTAGTGAGTGTTAGTTTTATACAGCATAAAGGAACAAGGCAAGGGATTTTCACTTTTATGTGGTATTAATAGTCTTACGCCTAGTAGTGAGTATGTTTCAATGTATTGTACTGAATATAAGAAGCTTCAAACACTGAGGACACTTAGGACAACATTAGATGCTCTGAAAAATAAGCACAATACACATCAGGCTGTTGCCCTGAATACCAACAATTATGTTCACATCTCACTTTAATGTTTCCTTACTTTTCTAGATTCCTTATTGGAGCAGAGACAGAGGCACCAATTAAGCAGTGCCCAGTTTGTCGAATTTATATTGAGCGGAATGAGGGCTGTGCTCAGATGATGTGCAAGAACTGCAAGCACACGTTTTGCTGGTATTGTCTACAGAACTTGGATGTAAGTGCTGCAGAAAAAGCACCAGGATAAAGGATAATGGGGTTAAGGGTTAGTCTGAGGCCCTGTGCAAGCTCTTTGTTAGTTCATTGCTGTCCTAGCGAATTTCTTGGCTCAATTCAGCTTCTGACTCAGTTGCTTTCTCTTCTTTCACACAGTCCTTTTATTTATATCAATACAGTTTTTTATTTCTTCCATAAAGGGTTATGGCCATGACTGTGGCTCCCATGTTAGTTCTTTGAGGGAGATGGGACTAACACATTGCTTTCTGGAGGTTTGTTCCAGCAATACCTTGCTTGGATTCCCTCTTCCTAAAAACAGTTTGGTTGAGAGTGAGAGACATAGGTGTCTTCCACCTGTTTCAACAGCAAAGGACACAGCCTGTCTAAAAAATGGTATGGTGCTGGGTGAAGGGGGTTTTTCCATGGTATGGTGGCTAGGGAGCACTAGGTCTCCTTTACTAGTCCATCTCTAGTGCCGTGTTTGCTGAAGAGAATGATTGGCTATTAGGCTTGAGGATAAAAATGTTGGATCATGAACACAGATGGTGAAGTGCATGTTGCTAGTTACTTCTCAAAGGTTGCAAACCAGTCTCAACTTGTGTGGACTTCAAGTATCCTAGCAGCATGAAGAGTCCTGGAAGTAATGCACTTGTATATATGGCAACTTGCCCTTTTGGCACAGTCATCAGTAACAGCTGTGGGAGCATGAAAAGGACTTTACCAGCACTTGAAATAAAATGTTATGTGCTGCGTGGCTTTTCTTGTCTTTTTTGTACTCCACAGCCAGCAAACAATGAAACTTCCTCAGTCTTCATCCTTTACTCAGCACGCTAAACAGGTTTCCCTTAGTGTTATGTCCCCTTTCTGTGTGGGTGAACGTGCTTTTTCAACATGAGTCTCAGGGCTTGCCTCAGAGTACATGCAGTACACGGTGATTGCTTAACATTGTGCTGAACCTGAAGGGTGTCACATTCTTGCAGACTCCGCAGACATGCCCTTATCGAGTTTTTGTCAGTTCAAAGGGAGAAAGAGAAAGAAACTGTAGTTGTGTGATTCAATTGTAGTTTTTCTGAATGTGTAGGGGTGCCAGGAGCTCCAGGTGTAGATGAAGGTAGAACCTGCAAAGCCAGAGAGCAGAGCTGAAAAATGAAAGGGGAAACAGCATCAGGTTACAGCACAGTGTTTAGGGAGGGTAATGCAGGGCATGAGTCACCTTCTGAAGAAAAGAATGAGTAGTTTAATAAGTATTAATGGTAAAAGAGAAATAAACCAGGATTTTTGTACCTTTTATATTTTCCTGTTAAGTCTAAGAAGAGAATTACTGTGAAGTAGGTACAGCAGGAGAACAGAAGGTAAAATACTTCAGGAAGATGATCCCTCACATTACTAGGTTTCAGAAATGCCTGTTGTTTTCAGTTCCCTTTATCATCACCAAATTATAGACTAGGTACTTGTGCAATTAGGTGAAACTCATGTGCTTATGCTTTTTAAAAGTGGAGGAGGAAAGATGCTGTATGATAGCTCAGGTGCCAAATACATGCCAATTTCTGAAACTGCAAGTTACTCTAGGTAATTATTTGGAAGACAGGTGAACTTGTCTGCTGGCAGCTGGCAATTTCAAAGCAGTGCCAGGAAGGTTGTGTTTCCACTCTGGTCTTGAACTTCTCCCTGCAGTTCTGTAACCTGCTCTTACAGCTTCTCCTTTTGTTTTTCAGAATGATATTTTCTTACGGCATTACGACAGAGGCCCTTGCAGAAACAAGCTGGGCCACTCACGGGCTTCAGTGATGTGGAACAGAACACAGGTGTGTTCCTAGCCAGCTGGGCAGAGCTCTCATGCATGCATGAAGCAAAGAGATTTTAGCCTTCAGAGAAGAACCAGGATGATTATTTTCATATTTTCATCTTTTTTTTGGTGACCTATGCTATGTTTATGCATGCACGTGCATATTTTATTTTCCATGCTATCTAAATATGTATTTTTCACCACCCTGTCTTTCAGGTTGTGGGGATCCTCGTTGGACTAGGTATCATTGCGTTGGTGACCTCCCCCTTGCTGCTTGTGGCATCTCCATGCATCATCTGTTGCATTTGCAAATCTTGCCGGAGCAAAAAGAAAAAACCCAGCCTGCCGACAACCTAAAACTCTGTGTCTTTTTGAGTCTCCATCTGTACAGCATAAGTATGTGAGGAAGCACAATGGTTGTGTTTTGGTGCCATACCTACCAAATAATGCTCCCTTTTTTTTGCCAGTTCTTGGGATAAGTGCCTATTCTTTACAGGCTACTCTATCACTAACAAGTCCAGATTATTGTGCAGTACATGCAGTGTAGGTTTTTGCTTCCTGAAGAGGAAAACAGGACACCATTCAGTCCTTCATACCCTATTCAAGACTGATAGAACATTCCCATTTTCCATCAGCTGCACATGACTTGATCCTGCTGCATTACTCTGTCTTTGCAGATTCAGTCATTACTGTTGTGCTTGCTGTTGGTTCTTGGTAGCACTCAGATTTCTCAGAAAGGTTTGGGTCTTTTGTGAAAGAGGGAGAGGGAAAAGCCTGATGAGGTTCTTCTGTCTGATAGCTTGTGTACAGTTAAATGTAACAAACCATTAAGAAAATATGTCTGGTAGTTTCCTGTCAATTGGCTGCCATGGCATTTCTTTCAGCATTGAAATCCATTTGATTTTTGCCATTGATCTCAACTACAGAAGTAAAAAACCAACAAAACTGTTTCTAAGATAGGACTCTCTTTTGAGAGACTGGACCTTGAGAAAGCTGCTATTTTTTTTACATCAAACATGACATATCTACCATGAAATATTAGGAATATGCATATTTCCCTTCCATTGGACATGCCTTTTGTCAGTACCATGGGTGTAGAAAACTCACAGTGAAGGTAATATTGTAAGAAAGATGTGATCCAGTTCCCATTTTGTGCAGAGCGTTGGGATCCTGGTTGGGTGTGTGCAGAGTGGTGGCATGGGTGCAGATATACCAAGTACATATGAGCAGTCAGTATATTTTTTTCAACAGTTTACATGGGGTGGCGGCAAGAACCCTGATAAAAAGTTATTGAAACCAGGCTAAGCCAAGCCCTCCTTCAAAACCTTATGGACCTGCTGAAGTGAATACTTGAGAAATGCTGTGTAAATGTGACCTCCGTCCATTGGTGGGTATTTCTTTTGTCCTGCTCAAGGTCAACAAACTCTGTTACTGATATTTTTTAGTTACTCTAAATCTGGAAAGCTGTCAGTTAATAAGTGCTTCATTTTAATTTGGTGCCTCACCACCAAACCAGTTCAAACCCTGGTATCAGTTACACATGTAAAAGTTCACTGAAAGCTCACTGAAGAGCTGGAATTACTGCAGCTCTTCAGTCAGGAGTAGCTGAGATCAGACTCTGCTCCCTGGAATTTATTTCCTTAATGGATGGTGCTCCTCAGAACCAGGGCTGGTGGCGCTTTTGTTCTGGACTCCCGTCTGTGCATTCTATATCTGTGGGAGCAGATTCAAGTTTGCACTGTACAATTGGTTGTAATTCCAAACCCCTTTCCACAAGGGCTGCAGGGTTTGAAGGAGATGCTCGGCCCGAGCGCGGTGTTGGGCTGGCGCTCCGCCCGGCTGCGCCTCTCGGAGCGCACAGCGCGGCTCAGCCGGGAGTGCTGCGAGGGTGCTGTGAGTGCTGCCTGTGTGTGCTGCTTGGCCGAGCCTCAGGAACTTTGCCTTCTTGGCAGCTGTAAATGTGACCTTTTTTCTGTTTAACTTAGCTCTCTGGTTACTGTAACAAAAGTGGCAGGTTTTCTTCTTTTGAGAAAGTGTAGTCTGTTGAGCAGACTAGCAAGGACAGAGGCCTTAAATGATATTGTCTGTTTTACTTTTTAATTGATTTCTTTTGTAAATACTGTCTGACTTTGCTAGCAGTCGTGGCTGGAGGGCAGGCAGTGCTCGCCAGTGTGAAAGGCTGTATTTATTCTTCATCCTCAGCTTTGAAGGGAAGCAGAACGGTAGACAGTACATTCTAAATACAGAGTGCAATGCAGGCAACTGCCATTTATAATAAATAAAGAATGTTTTCTGTATGTGTTTTCTTGAAGAGCACTAATGGTAGTGCTTTGGGGTACTTGTGACAGATTAAAGTGTCCAGCCCTTGGCTTTGCACTATTTTTCTACCTACGTTTTTATGGCACTACTGTCATTTCCATTTTATTTATGAACTTGAAGTTGCAAGTCTTACTTTAACAAAGCCTCAAGGACAAATACGTAGGAGCTGTACAGTCTCTTTAACCATAACCAGCATTGCAATGTGCTTTGCATGTTAAAATTCGAGCGTTTTTCATGTTTTGTGATCTTACCCATGACTGATGCATCCTTTACTAGTCTGTTTTCTTTCCTTGTCTTCTCCCTCCTTCTGTTGGCCTGTTTTTGCTAAAATGCCTATTGGAATGAGGGTGGCAGATCTCTTTTTCATTAACACTGCTGTGTTAATGAAACTGTCAGGTTCTCCCTCTGCTAAAGAAAGGCAGCTGAAGGCAGCTCTCTTGCACCAGTTTAGGTGCCTGGTGGGCATAGCAAAACTGGCATAAATTAATCATGCAGGAGTTAACACAGCCTGGCAGTCTCAGTGCCAGTCCAGGCATCTAAGAAATCTAGATGTGGATTGGTAGCCCAAGCTTTTGCTGGAGGTCTTTACACAAAAACTGGATAAGGAGAACACGAGCTACAGGCACCCCTTCCTTTGGCTGTGTAGGTGCAACAAATGGACCAAGAAAAGCTCTAGACATCTTAAGAGCTCAAAATTAAAGCTTTACAACATTGATTTTTTAAAAAAGGTTGTATCCAGTGCCCCATGTATCCTGGCTTTTCATTGCATGGGAATACTTGAGCATGTGCATTAAGTAGACCCTGGCCTGGCTGAGTCAAGCAATACCTGTGCTGAAGTGCTGGGAGCAGGAAAGCCCTGATGCTTTGTTTTCCAGAAGGCAGCTATTTTGCACCAACTGGCTCACAGAGTTTCCAGATAAACATTTTAGCAGGAATCTTTTTACAGTGTTGGCTTTTGCTTTTGTGTTGCTTTGGTTTGTTTTTTAATTTTGTAAGAAACATTAAAGTCACTTTATAAAAGATTTCTTGACAGCATGACAGATAATACTAGTAATAATTAGGGAGAGTGAAAGAAGACAGGACTCTGACTACATCTGACTCTTCTTAATCAAGGTATCTGTAAATCCACTCTCCTGAGCTCCCTCTGTGCGATGTAGTTGGTGCACATCACCAACTACCAGGCTTCACTGCTCTTCCCATCTCCCTTCTTGCCCTTTTGGCAGGTGGCTGGTGTGGGGGCAGCAGCCAGGGGAGAGCCCAGGGCTGTGGACGTGCAGGTACCACACAGGAGCAATTGCCCACCCTGGACTCATCACCAGTTTGTTTTTGGGCCTTTAACCACTGGGAAACACCTTGGGGGTTTTGGGCCTTTAATGGTACACTGAGAGCATTCACAGATGTGTCTCTTGGAGAACAGAAGTGGAAAGTACTCCATTCCTTTTGAACCAGGGGCATTCGGACCTTATGAAAATTTGGCTCTCAGTGTTTAAAGGTCAGCTCCTAAACTTAAGAGACCAGAGCTAGAAATCTAGATTTGTACTGCATCTGGCCACAAATCTCCATGGACACATGTCACACCATTTCCCATCAGTCACTGGATCTGTGTCAAATACAGCTGAAGATCCCATTCAGAATTTCATGTCCTTGTGTTAAAATGAGCATGATGATACCTGCTCCCAAATCCATCTCTTAATAAAAAGAAGATACTTGTCATGCTACAGCATAAGTGCATCTCTGCAGTATTTATTCCAGAGCTATAGTGGGTGCTCAGTGCTGCCCTTCAGTAAGTGATGGTTTATTTTTGGTGCATGGGGTTACTTCCCCCAAAGTAGGGCACAAGGGGTAACAATAATGAATGTTTCTCAGTGCTTTAATGATGCTAAATGCTACGTCTTGTTGTCTGTCCAGTAACACAGCATGAAGTCCAAAGATATGTTTAAAATGTACAAAAGTTTACTTGAATGAACTAAGAGAAACTGGATATTGCCTCCATATTTGCATGAAGAAATAAATACAAGCGGCCAGGTACAACTGCGTTTCCACAATGGGACAATAAAATCAATTCTTGGCAAGTCCATTTTTTGGTACCACAATGGGTGGTTGTGCTGTAGTGCCTGCTGCTTTAAAATTTTGAAATCTGTTTTGCACTGTAATCTCCTTCTCCCAGTCATTCTTTCTCAAAATAATTCCTTATGATCTTATTTTTCATCCTGTATTTCAGGCCAAAGAGTCTTAGAGCAAAGCTAGTAGATTTCTTTGTATGAGGATAAAAATCTTCCAGCCATTTTCTCCCAGGTTTTAAAAAGAAATTTGATGCTGAGTTACCTGACCAAAGTTAGAAATTCCAGACTTGGCTTGTTTAGAAAAACTTATTGAGACTTAAGAAGTTCTCTTTTAACACCTAAATAAGGGCTGCTTTGTTAGAGCAAATAGATAAGGGAGCCATGCAGCTTTTGAGCTTCACAGAGGAGATGCTTCTGTTGTTAAGCAGACTTCTTTGGAAACGTGCTTGGGGGAAAAAAAGCCCAAAACCCCTATATCCTGTATACATATTTTTATTATATAAATCAAAAATGCTTATCTTGTATAGATTCATAATTTAAGAATTCAAGCTCTCTGGAGGCTTTCTAGGTTACACTTACCCAGGAAGATAATCTTATAAATATGCTGAGGCAGTTGAACAGAGTGTGCTAGTTATAAAACAGTTGTCAGACATCTCTCACACATGAGTGTGTAGGATGAGATTATAATTTACATGGCTCGAAATAAAGATGTGAAAATTTACCTTTCCTGGAACAGCAAGAGTTGGTTCTTGCATTCTTCTGGAAGGTTAACTTACTGCTAAGACTCTGGAGAATTTCAGTCTCATTTTAATTTGTACTCTAGTTAGCAAAGTAATGAAGTGAGAGCTGAATGGTGTTGCTGAACACAAAGCCCAAAGGTCTGTCTTATGTCACAACACTCAAGTTTCTCATAACTAATGTGGTTTTATAATTTATTATTATAATTTATGCAATGCAAATATAGCTTATAATTAGTAATTATAAAATACTAAAGATGAAGTATCATTGCCTTTATCATATGATATTTATTTTAATTGCATTCATACTGGAAGGCTTTTCTCTTCTGCTTCCCGTAGAGAAGGTCATGTGCACCTGCAAAGTAAATTTCTGTGATATGGTGCAGTCCACAGTAAATGTTTCCTACTGTTTTGTAGTTATATCAGAGGGTTTTTTATGATCCTTCAAGTTAGTTCTTTGAGTCGAGCAAATTTCTATTGTTAGGAAAGGTGATTTCCTAGCAATGAATTTTATTGACCATCACAATCTGAGCTATAAAAGATGATACTGATTGACAAGGTCCACCAGCTCTTTCAAGGACACAACCTCATTCTTCTCCCTTCTTCCCAAGAAACTTTATCTTTTCTTGGATGAAAATTAAGGATGTCAGTAATTTGCTTATGCCTTCTGGATGTCCAGACAGAAGCTGCAGCTTCTGGTGGCCATGTGCCAGGAGATCCCAGACAGGTTGAATGTACAAAGCTGCAGCACATGTGCAGTGAGTTGCTTAAATTTCAAGAAGGTGCCTGAGCTTTACAGCTTCCTGGGGCCCATGCAGGATGTGGTGGATGTGGTGCACAAGGGACTCGGCCAGGTGAGGCTTTGAGTGTCACCAGCTCTATGGCACATGTTGTGCTGGGCTGTCTCCCCGTGTTCGAGTGTATCCCGGATCTTCATCGGGGGCCCTGTCTCAAGCTTGCCCTTTCCATAGCTACCTGCCCACCTCCAAACCACCCCAGAACCCAGAGCAAATCCGTTCATTTTCCAAGTCTCTCGCTGCTGGTCTGGTCCAGTTTCACAGAAGCTTCAGTTCACATGAGCTATTTGGAGCTCAGCTGGTCTGATCATTGACTTTTCCCTAATGAGCAAGGCTTGGGAATGAAGAGAAGCAGAACTGTTCCATACGCTGGTATTGGCATCACAGGCACCAAGGGTCACTGTGTGAGACCTCTTTTGACTGCCCCAGCATTGCTTATTTCTGAAAAAAGCCTGTGTTTAAAATGTGTGTACATAGATGTGTCCAAGTCTGACACTGGGTGGGTTTGTGTGCGTGGTGTGAGACAGCAGCAGCCACAGACCCCTGTCCTGCCCCTCGCAGATTTTACCTTCTGTTTATCTGGGTTTTTTGGTTTTTTCTTTTCCTCCAGGTAATACACTTTCTTCACCACTTTTCTTCCGGTGAAGGGCAAAAGGGTTTGATCTTTGTAAGATTTGTTAAAATATTTTTGTGTTTATAAGAAGAAAGCTGACATGTATAAAGAAATAAGTGCTTTTGTAAATTTTTTTTGTGGTATGATTCAGCATTTAAATGTTTTACAGATGCAGTTTTTTGCACTCTCTCTGCATATATTCATAAAAATTATATTTATTTTCTGTCTTTAAGGTTTACTTTGGGTTTTTTTTTCTTCTGATGTTATAAAATGCAATATGTGCAACATTAAAAAATCAATGTAGACATAGTCTCATTTTGTTGTAATCTTCAACTGCCTTTAAAAAGATAACAGAACATTTATGGAAAGAATTTGAATACATCAGATGTGCTTAATGGAAATTTTGAGGATAAAAGAAGGTAAAAAAGCTTGAATCAAGAGTCTGGACTGTTATTTACTTTCTCAAGAATAATTGACATTAAAATCCTTTTAAAGAGTGTGGGGCAGGCTCTGGATTAGCCCTGGGAGCTGCTGCAGGGCATGCAGACAGCGGTGGTGTTTGCTCTCCATAGGTGGAGTGCAGGATTACTAAAGATCTGCTCCCCTGCAAACTCTGGTGGAGACTCTGGCTTGGGGGCTGCCAGGAGCTGGGGCTACCCCAGGAAGTTGATGTGGGATGGCAGCCTGCACAGAGCAAAGTCTGCTGCTTCAGAGCCCCCCTTTCTCTTCACTTGCTCCCTCAGCCCTGCCTGTCCTTGCAGCAGAACGGGGCCTCCTGCTCTGAGTTTCCAAAGGATGGAAGGCCACATCCTGCTGTGCACTTTCAGGCATCCATGCTCCTTTATGAGTTTCCTCACACTCCCACTGCATCCTGCAGCGCTTACGAGAGACAATCACAGCTGTGGTTCTGAGCATCACCCACGAAAGCGATGTTTACTCTTAAATATTTCTAGCTTAGCTACAATTACTCAGCATCTGAAAGCAGGATTTTCCAGCTGGCTGACACATACTTGAAAACCCCGTGTGTCATCTGTGGGGCTTTTCACCTCAATACATTATCTGAAAGGTCTTGATAGTTTTGCCTCAAATAACATGTTTTCAGGATGAAGGCTGAGGAGAATACCACCATTGTCACTTACAGCTCAAATTTTGGTGATGAATGTACATTTTTTTCCCCACTAGTTTGCTTAGAATAAATTCAGCATTGATATTATTCCACTTAAACACAGCAATTTTTTTTTTCAAATGTGTGTGTGTGTTCAAGGCTCTGGTCTTGTGCAACAAAGCAGGAGCAACTTACCAGTCCACACATTAACAAAGGTGATGACTTGCAGCAGACTGAAGGTTTCCAGCACAGCACTTTTCCTTCAGAGGATCTTGCTGATTGCTGAGGAACCAGCTTTTTGATGGGAATGTGTCCATTCTGTCAGACTTGTGATGGACACCAGCTGCTGGCAGCCAGTGTGCCTGGTACCCTGCCAGCCTACCAGCTGCCAGTGGTGGGCAAAGTGCCCGGCTTCCCACCTGGTAGACAAGTGAACTGCCAGTTCCTCACCTGGCAACTTCGAAGAAAACACCAACAAATCTTTTCCAAGAAAAAAGATACACATTTCTGAATTTCCAATATTTAAAATTCCAAATCAGACTAGTCTAAGCAACCCAAACATCTTCTGGCCAGGAAAATAAAAACAAACTCTATGGATTCAATTTTGATTTGATTCCAGCTTCAAGGTGCAATTTCCCCTCCCAGGTCCTGCCCTTGTCATGAAGATTAGTTTTCTTCAAAAGCTTTTTATTTCAGAATTATTTGTGACCAAATCCCTCAATTTTAAACTCTCCATGTTTTTTGAGATTACATTAAGATGTCATTTGCCTTCTTAACCTCTGTGCGTGCACATCCATCCACTCACCCACACCCACTTCTACACTACTCGCAGTCTGATCCATCCTTCCAGTTTGACAAACATAACCCACATCACCCTCTTAAAACACCTTTCCTGGTCTCCCATTTTTTTCTGGGATGATCCTGTGGGTGGTGCCCCCCACCCCATCATCATTCTGCCGCGTTTTCCACGTGGGGCCCGTGACTCCTCCTGGGAATCCTTCCTCCTCTGTAAGCAGCAATAGTCTGCCTCTCAGAAGGATTGCCCTTGCAAATACCTTTCCCAATATCCTTTGATCCTGGTGCCTGCTTGGCAGCTCCTTTCTCTTTCAAGTTCTACAATTTTTCTGGTCTGAAAACTTAGTTTTTGGAAACCATAAATCATGGAAAATTAGAACAAAAAGGCTTGTCTTTCTACAGAGCTTTCCATGGATAAAAAACACCAAAAAATCCAAAACCCCAAAGCAATCCACAACAAAAATAAAACTAAACCAACATCCCATACTACCCACAAAATTATATGTCTCAGAGGAAACACTTTCCACTTAGAGCCATGGGTTACTTCTTGCATGGGACATCTCATGCTGAGCTTCTCAGCCCAGAGAGCACCTTGTTAACACCTCTGTAGTGAGCCATGTCTGCAGCCACTGCCATGCTGAGCCTCACAGGTGTACAATGGGCAAACTCAAGGCTTCAAATCTGTACTGTGATGTGGGGAGATAGAATGTAAGAAAATAAAGGTAGTGCAGAAGGTAATCTCACTCCTGAGGAGTTGCAGCTGCACTAATTATCAAAGATTAGGAGCAGGCCTGCCCTTAACAGGCCACAGCTGTGTCTAATAAGGATGAGTGCTATAAAAGAGTGGGTTAGGCAGGTGAGGAGAGACCTGGAGTTTGTTGGCTGTGCTGTGAAGTGCTGCCCATGAGACATCACCAAGAAGGTATAGAACTTTTACAATGAGATGATAACACTGTGATACTCAATATAAAAAAATCGAAATTCTTTCTTGTCATTCCTTTCCCTAATCTGAGCTAGAGAGCAGTGCACCTAGCAATAGGCGCACTTTAAAATTCAGCAGGATGCTGGAATAACTGTCAGAGTTCTGAAGCAAGTCTTGTGCCCACACCTGCCTGAAGATGTACTCGTGTTCTATCCAAAAGGGGAAAATTGCAGGATCTCAGATTTCTCAAAATGGAGTTACAAAAAGTGTCTGCAGAAGGGTGAAGCCTCTGAGCAAGAGCACCCCATGTCTTTTTCCTTGATGGTATCATGTAGTGAAGAAATGAAAAATCCTTCCTGATGCTGACCCTTTCTTAGAATCTATTATCAAGCACAGTCAGTAATTTCACAGTCTCACCTTCTTGAGATCCATGCCAGTGTCAAGAACTCAGACTTTGAAAAACCTGGAGGACTGGCCAATTACTAGGTAATTGTGTTTTCCTGGGTCTTGGCTAAAAAATTTGTATTTAAGCCCAGGTGGGCACAGGTGCCTGTGGTAGTGTGTGTGGTTCCCAGGTGTGAGAGGTAAGAGACTGCTGCTGCTGCTTCTAGCAGCTCCTGCTCGTCCTGGGCACCACAGCTAGTGGGGAAGCTGCTCTGGCAACTGTTAGATTGACCCATGTGAGAGTGTCTGACCATCCTATTGCTTGGTTGGGTTGCCCAGAGAAATTGTGGGTGCTCTGTTCCTGGAAGTGGTCCAGGCTGGTTGGATAAGATGTTGAGTAACCTGGTCCACTGGAAGTTGTCCCTGGCTGTGGTAAGGGGTTGGAACTAGATGACCTCAAGGACCCTTACAACCCTAACCATTTTGTGGGATGGGGGCCTGTGGGTCATGCCCTAGGAAGAGGATTCCAGGGAGTGCCCTGTGGAAGTGCCCAGAAGCAGTGCTCTGTATAGCAGAGGAGGTAGTTCAGGACCTTGAGCATTGCTCAGCTGAATGTCTCTTCAGAAAGCTTTGAGTTTTTTTCTAACTGTACCTGCTCCCATTTGGAGGTTTTTCTTCCTGGTCTCTCTGGGATTCCCAGTTGGAGCATACAGTGAGATATGCCATGGGAAAGATCAAGGGATTGATATCTGACTCCCTGGAATACTGAAGCTTCACTAAGCTCTGTTGTTCTGCCCTCAGCATTGCCAGGAGAGGGGACTTAATCTGTTTTCTGCTACTCTGTGTTCAGTTTTGCTGACCTATATGATGCCTGGAAGGAACGGTGTTCCCGATGATCTTTCAGCTGGAGAAGCCTTGTGGCATGTCTGCTACCAAAGTCAGCTGGAGTGAGCACTGTCGTAGTGCCAGTGGCACCAAGGGAGGGAGTGTGATTTTAAAAACACAATCAGAATGGATAGGAGACTTCTGGCTTTGCTCAGGCTATGACTACAAACAACTAAAATGTGACATGCCCTGGGGCCTCCAGCCTGTGTCATCACGAGGTTCAGCAGGGAGCAGTTTGTGGCTTCTCAGGGGCAGTGGTTTCACAGTGTAAACAGGGATGTTCTGGGCTGCAGCCAGACCTGAGTCCCTCTTGGATGGGTGAGAAAGTGCAGCAGGGCCTGATAAATCTGTGGTGGCTCAGAAACCAGAAGAGTGCTTGCGGTAGTGGTGGGCTGGCTGGGTTTTACACTTATTCCTACCACCTCTGAGCTATGTTGCCTTCACATCACATTATGTGTGGTCTAGGGCTCTTGGCTGCAGGAGAAGTCTGGTAGACAGAGTGGAGGTTTGGGGTGGCTGTAAGAAAACTTTCCTCTTCTTTCTTCCACCAAATGTATAACATTTGGTATGGTGATAGTGTTTAATTGAAGGCTTTAGTCTGTATTGCAGATAGCTTTGGAGGAAAAGACACTTCACTTGTTAGCCAAAGGTGTCCTGGTTAAAGTTCAGCCTGTAACTATGACCCTCTTATTAATCCTATTTATGAAGATGCATGATTTCCCATAATGTCCCATCCCTCGTATAGACTATGGTGCTTGTGGGTTTTCTTTCTGCCTGTTCCCTGCAGACAAGTAGCACAGCTGTTCACAGCTTTTATGTGTTTATTTGAATTGGTGCCTGGTACAGCCACTCCAGAGGATCTCTCTGCCTGAAGACTGTGAGAGGTGGTAAATGTCTCCTTACAGGGCTGTGCTGCTGCACAGAGCTTGGCTTGGCCCTCTTCATCACTTGTAGGGAGCTTGGACAGGGTCCTACCATGGTGAGATGAAGGGAGAGTTTTGTCATGAATTTGGTTCTTTCACCTCTCTTCTCCATGTAAGAATCCATGCCCTAATCCCATCTTAGATGACCCAATAAAACTATCTGTGTGCTTAAGGTGAGACCTGTTTATAGAGGAAACACAAGGGGAATGGGCATGGTTGTGGAAGATTTTTGTCCAATGTCCTGAATCCCAGCTCGCAACCTGAACAGAGCATATGAAAGGTGTTCCCCAAGAGCCTGGAAGAGGAGGCAGGTTTGGGGACCTGGGGGATACCTGACTACTGCTGCTGCTCCAGTGTCTCTCCTGCCTTCCAGGGCTCTGCTCACATTTGCTTCCTGGCAGCTAGCTCCTGGTGTGGCAA